CTAAACAGTATTCTTTCTAAATTTGTTGTTTGAGCTATTGGTTAAATCTACAAATATTGTGAGTGCAGACAAAAAGGTTAAGAGGAGAAGCAGTTAAGTGAGAAAGAATATTTAAAGTAGTAGTAGAGTTGTAAAGAATTTAAGAGTGATAAAAGGTTGAAAATAAATAATTTTGAAATAGAGTATAATCATATAGTCAGGAAGTGGGCAAGGTTCTCCTAGGAGATAGATATGAGCTTCATTGTAAATATTTTTGATTGATATAGCAATTTTGTCTTGGAGGTTACTCTATAAACTAGTTTTGAGTAGATATAGGAAGAAGGAGTTGAGAATTTGAGAGAATAAGATTGGGGAAAATTATTGTGATATGAGAAATTTGTTGAAACAAGTAAAAGATTCAAGAGGGTGTAAGAAAATGTAATTTGAACTTTAGGAATGTCTTCTAAAAGGTCATTCACTATATATCCAGTTTTTATAGTTTTGCAATAGTTAAAAGTACTTTAGTTTAGCTTAAAGTACTATTATTATTAAACTCTTTCAGGTAAAATTAAAGTTATAATTAAAATTTAAAATAAACAAATTATATATAAAATTGGACAAAGAATATTTTTTTACTAATAAACTAAAAATAGGTTTATAATAAAGATTTATAATTATAAATAATTTTTAAAAACTTTAATTATTTTAATTTTCTTATATATAATATATAATAATAAATAAATTTATCATTATTATTTATGATAATATTTTAAATATTTATTTTTTTAATAAAAATATATTATATATCTAGTATATTTTAATTCAATTATACTAAAGCACACCACTGGTGTTCAATACTATAATACAGTATAACATGAAGATTATTATCAAAACTACAACAAAAAAAAATAAACAATATCAAATTTAATAAATATTAAGTTATAGTTAATAATTAAAGGTTAAAATAAAACATAATATATAGCAAAATTTTGCAAGAAAACTTTTTTATAAAAAAAGTAGTTTTATAAATTAAATTTTAAGCTAAAAATATTTTTTTAAAATAATAAAATAAAATAGAATTTTATAGTATATCTAATCTTTATATTATATGCATTTAAAAAATTTGATTAGTAAAAATTATTGTAGTATTAAATATTAGTGGTACATTTTAGTAATCTTGTTTTAAATTTACTTGTATTATTAAAATATTAATACTGTACAAGCATGAAATAATGCCCATCTGCGCATTAATTAATTGGCTTGTGTATTATTTGGAGTATATGCATGCATATTATTTCGAAACAAGAATTAAATTTGCACTCCTAACTATAATAAATAGTATTTATTTGTAATAAGAATAAAAAAGTGCTCTGAAGCTAGATTTGATGTTAAGTAAATCTATTTTTTTTAGCAAAAGTTGTTCTTCAGATTGAGACAATTCTAGCATAGTAAAATTATCAAAAGCAGTTCTGTAGTTCACCCAAAATACCTCTTCAAGTTTTGCAACATTTGTATATCTTTGTTTATATAATCTATAAATAAAGATAAACAAATATTGCAAAACTTTAAAGAGGTATTTTAGACAAATTACAGAACTATTTTTAATAATTTTACTACTATTGAATCATCTTAATCTGAAGAACAACTTTTGCTAAAGTCAAAAATAGGTTTATTTAATATCAAACTAGTTCTGAAGCACTTCTTACTCATTTATTTTTTTAATTTATTTATAGGAATATGTGTTAATTCAGGATGCCTATAGGTGTAAATTTGAACTACATATACTATTTTAGAGGAATTTAATTTTCAAATTAACACTCTAGGTATTATTTCATATTTATATAATAAAAAAAAAAATATTAATTAAAAAATTTGGTTTATATTTTTAAATATAAACAATTTTAAACTAAGCTATTTTTATAATAATAACTTTAAAAAAAATATTATATTTTAAATATATTTAAAAATATTAATAAATTATAGTTTATTTTTAAAAATAAATTTAATATATATATTTTATTTTAATATTTAATTATTTATTAGATAAATTGGTTTAATTCAATTTTATTTATTTGTTAAAACAAAATTTTGTTCTAATTGTAGCAATCGAGTTTTTATATAAATTTTAGCTCAAAATTTATTTTAAATACAAATTTTTATTATAATTATAAAATTATAATTAATATAAACTTTACTAAAACTTGCAAAATTAATAGTAGGTGTATTGCTAATGTATAGTAAATATATAGTAATAATAAAATAATTATATAATAACTTTAAAGCTAAAAAAATTAACAGTAGTGAACATATTGCTAATATATAGTTAATGCTATAGATTTAATAAATAAGTTAAAACATATAATATTATTTATAATAATATTGTTTATAAAAGCAAAAATAATCAAAAACAATAGATATTCAAACTTTAATTTTGTTAATATTATTAATATATATATTTTATATTATTCAAAATTTTTATTAAACTAATATAATTTAGTTTTTAAACTAATAAAAAAATTATTAATATCAAATTTAAAATCATAAAAACTATGTTAAATATATCAAAAAATTTACAAAGTTTTTTTTAATTTATATAAAAATAAGATAGTTTTAAAATATTTAATATTTATAGGGGGCTATTTTTTATACCCCCTATATTTGTTATTCGTACCCCCTCTAACGTAAATTCCTGATGTCATGTGGTCACGTGAAGTGATGATCAATACGATTGGACAATAGCATTGTACAAAATACATGATCATTGAACATCTATCTATTTTTGCACGGGTCTTGTGTAACAACCCATGCTTTTTTTATTTACTTATTTTGTTCGCTATGTATAGTTATACGTGCAAATTTAGTTACCGGTTTTTTTTACCACCTATAAAATAACTACATATGTTAACTTATCGCTTTCCCTTATTTGGTAATATTTGGTCCAATTAAATTCAAAAGTTCAAATTTATTATTGATTTTCTATTATTAAAGTGATATGCTGTGTATATTATGTACTGTACGTACGTATATACGCTAAAAAATTCAGATACCATATATAGTAAATAGTATATCACTACGTCTAACCCAGATTCCAACTATTACCATTGTCTATATGTAACTTTAATAGACGTTAGTAGCATTGAAATTCATAACGTCCTCCAGTATGATGATCATTATCAAATCCAGAAACACTAATCAAATATAGAAATGAAATCTAAATTAGTATAGTGTATTGCTCTAAAATAACTGTGGCGATATACTTAGAATATGGAGCAGGAGGGAACGTTGTTGTTACACAACTGATTTTACACACGGTGTGAAACACATAAAAAAATTATTTTACAATACTTGATCAGTCTTGATCAGTCCGCTAGTGCATGTTATGATTATAATCCAACACCATTTTTTTATAATAAAAAATGGCGTTGGATTATAATCGTAACATGCACTAGCGGACTGATCAAGTATTGTAAAATAATTTTTTTGTGTTTCACACCGTGTGTAAAATCAGTTGTGTAACAACAACGTTCCCTCCTGTTATTAACGTATTACTATTACCATCTTTTTTTTTTTTTTTTACTATTGAAAAGAGATTTAAAGAGCAATAATTCTTTTAGCGACACTTTACATTATTATCCTTAACAAATTAAATATATGGAAATTGGTAAATACATAATTAAGTATATAATCAATGATTATATAACATATTTGAACTAACCCATATTAAACCATCCTAAAAATCTTGAATAAGATGGGTGTCACCCATCAAACTAGTTCTACGTATTCTATAAAATACAAATCTTGAATTTAAATCTTTCTATTTAATAGTTTACAATTTTTTTCATGATTTTTTTAACGCAAATATGTTATTCGAATCAATTCTTAATAATTTATTTAAATTTGTTAGTGGTTCTTCGTATCTGTTCATCGCCCTATAGATTTCTCCACGACATCCCAATGCTTCAATGCTTCTATATATTTTGATTAATTTTTAATGATCTAGTGAAATCTGCCAATGATTCTTTATAACATTTCAATATATAATAAGTTTCACCACGGTTTTTTTAATACAGTACAAATGCATTATTTGATTCGATTTCTAATGATTTATTTAAATCTGATAATGACTCTTTGTATCTGTTTATCTTGCAATAGTTACTCCACGGTATGCTGATGCCTCCGCATTATTGGATTAATTTCTAATCTATTGAATTTTTTTAAATTATAGTATTGGGATTAATTTTTAATACGGCTGGAAATTTTGCGTAATCTCAATTCATACAGGTTATTAAAATGCAAATTACATCAATTATGGTAATATTGGCTTCTTGTTTTTTTGTAAGCTTATAGAATAAATTTCATAATCACAGTTATCATTCGAAAATATTTTTTACATCTTTGCACGCAAATTATTCTTATGTAAATTTATACTATTTAATAAATTTTCACAAACATTTCGTTTAGGTCTAATACAAAACACCCACTAAAATTGTATGGAGTACTTTGTACGGTTTTATATATGTAATGCAGAAATCGTTATTGGTAATATGAATAATGCCGTGCAAAATACCGGGATATTATCCCCAGTTAAAAAAATATGCCATATAAAATATCCAGGTATTTCAATGCACTACGGTATATACCTGTGTATAAATACTAGCAGATTGGTGGGTTTCCTATTTTCAAAATATATCTCTTTACAAATATCTCTTTACAATGCACCTAGTATTTTATTAACAAGATTTATTTTCTACAAGATTACACTATTTGGCATCTTAAAATGCATTCGCACTAGTGTTTGATATCTAATGTTCTCAATGTTTTCAAGAAGATTTAAAAAATTAAGAACACTGCATTTAAACTTTTTGAGAACACAAAAATTATTAATCAGTCCTCAAAGAACAAAAAAAAAAATTCAGATATTTTTTCACTGATTTGCATATGAAAAATATATAGATAAAATAACCACCCAAAAATTTTTAAGAATTATAATCATTTGAGAAAAAATAATCGCTATTGAGCTCTTATATATTCTTTCTTAACAATGCTGGCTTATGTTTTCTTAAACTTTCTGCCACTCCAGTAAAAGTATTAACTAGGTTAACCTCATCAATGGCTCTTGTGAATTGGCATTTTAATGAACCCGAAGAAGTTTGCTGTGGAAGATATTTTTGTGCAATGTCTGCCATTTTTTGCAATGATGGGCTCATTGAATTACTGCTGAACAAAATAGTTTGTAGGAATATAGGAGATCTATAAAATTCATAAATGATATTATTTTCACAATAAATATATATTCTATTGTTACTAATGGTAAATATTTAAAATTGTGAATATAAAATGTTATTTACCCTCTTTCTTTATTTTTCGAACAAATATGATTTAGCTGCCCTTCTGGTACTCCGCACTCTCCATCTGAACAAAATATGACAACACTCGTTCTAAAAAATTGAACAGATTTAGAGCTAAAGATTTAGAAAAAAAATTCTTTAGAAGGAAAGCAATTCATTCACGTACTTGGTGGGATCAAAATGTCTATCAATTAAAAATCCGGCCTTCTGAATCGCCTTATTAAAATCGGTCCCGCCTCTTGCGTTATATTGAAGCATAGTGTTTATAAAGCTATTATAATTGGATAATGGCTCATTTTCAATTCCAACGACTACTTCATGGTCAAAAAGGATTAAAGAAATTGTATCTCGAGAAGTTGCAGCAGTATTAAGTGTAGCAGATAGTGCATTTTGTGTTGTAAATCGTGTAGTTAAGAATGAATGAACCTATAAAGCATGTGGATTAATAAAAAAGTAAAATTGGCCAAATTTAAATAAAGGTTATGGAAATATTCTTACTGCATTATAAACAGCGCCAAGTCGATTATTATGAGTTTGGGCAAGAGTGGTATAAATTGGTGTATTTTGAAGCGGTCTCTTATCACGGTCATTCATAGATCCAGACCGGTCTAAGGCAAAAATTATGTGAAATGCAGCTTCTCTTGTACTTGGATTTTCGCAATTAAAGTGCTTTATAAAGTATAAAAGTTGTGTTTAAATAAAACTTAAGTATATATTCTGCGAATTATTTTTAACATTTTCAGAAAAAGAATTTATTTTGTATTTTAACTTACATGCCCGTCTAAAGAAACATATCCGTATCCATTTGGTGGATTTTGAGATGGGTCAACTGGAGCGTGGAAAAGTTGCAATTCACAATAGGACTTTGATGGAGGTGGACCATTTGGATTTTGTGATTTATGATGTTTTTCATCTTTACATTCATGATCACATCTAGAAAATTCCTGTTGTTCTTGAGCAGTATACGGATCTAATTGATTATGCGTTCCAGGTTAGAATATTTAATACAAATTCTTTAATAAATTAATAATTCAGTTACAAACCTTTAAAACCAGTACGTTCCCAAAAGAGCCGGTGAGATATAAAATCTTTTGGTTCATCTGGATTAGGATGAACTCGACCTATAATAAAAAAATTTAGTAAAATTCAAGATAGAATAAATTAGGAGTTCAAAAATACATACCATTGATATGTTGGATATCTTGATTCTGATTTGTGCTGAATTTACATGCATCTGGGTTTTGACAATAATCAATGTGTCGATGTCTACCTAATTCCTTACAATGCTGAAAATTATAAAGTAATAAGTAAAATAACAATACAATAAAAACAATCAATAATATAAACACATACCAAATTACACAAAACAAAAGTTCCCTCATCCCCGGCTTTTAATTTATGACTATATGCAGCAAATTTAAAAGATATATAAAAATCTATGCTTTATATTAAATAATTCATGAAAACTTATGCATACCCTCCATATTCAAACTCGTTATCTTCCGCAGTGAATTCTGTTTTGATCATATTTCCATGGTGTGTGTCATGTAAGGTTTGTATATGTCCATAAGGCAAAGTACACTAAAATAAACATTAACATATTTTAATAAATTATGAAATATAGACAAAATATAACCAAAAAGAATAGTGAATTAAACTTACGTAATATTCACAAAAGCTGCCTGTTTTTAATAAAAATAAAGATTAATAACTAATAAATATTTACAAATACACTTTTATACTTACACTTTTTATCGCAATAATGTACACCTTCTCCATTTGGATCATGAGAGTGCTTTCCCGCATGACTGAATGAATCTGGTGGAATCTTTCTACTACACTGTAACCTCTCACTTACTTGAATATACTGAAAAAAAGGGTTATTCTATTTATTTATTTCTTTAAGCTAAGCCAGACCAATTTGATTTTCTGCTTAACATAACCCCAACCCCCTCAATTTTTCAAAATTATAGGATCAAAATACACATAATATTAAATAATCCCCTTCCATTTATTTTTTTAAAAATCTATAGGTTAGTACATATTAAATTAAACAATAAAATTGCAACATTAAATTTTACCCACTCCCCTCTTACAAGACATCTCATGTCATGTTAAACAGAAAATAAAGTCGGTCTGGCCTTACTATCAAAACATCACAAAGAAATCTCGCTAGATTATACCTTGATAAAAGTAATTGAGGTATTTTCAACAAGTCCCTTATAGACTTCTTCTTGCTTCTTTGGCTCAGTTTGGACTTTACATAAACCAGGATCTTCACAAAATTCTTGGCATTGATGTTCATTCCCACAAAAGTGATTGACAGAAATTCCAGAGTAAGCATGAAAATGATCGTCGCTTTTACAACGTCGTTGACAATCTTTCATCGGGCATGGAATAGGACACGTTTCATTTTCGCACTGAAAGGTGATTAATTTTGTCAATTAATCTTATTGTATTGTTATTTTGTGGATAATTAATTTAAAATGATATAAGATACCCTATGAGAATCGTGCTCCTCTTCGCATGGTGTAATACATTTGTTAGGACAACTATAGTCACCCTTTGACGTGTTGGTAACTAACGAGCATGGTGCTCCACAATAGTGGCGCTAATGTAAGAAAAAGAAAAGTTAGAAATTCAAGCTTGCAAATAAAAAAAAAAAAAAGTAATAATAATAATTTTATTATTTACTGGAGATTGACATAGATGGTCTTCATCATCATCTTCATGACCAATTTCCTTAGAACATCTTTTTTGACAATTTCGTTTATCTGAAAATCGACAAGGTTTTCCACACAAGTGGCTGATCTGCGAACATGCATGTTTTCCTGTAAAATTTAAATTATTTTATTAATTGGAATTTTAATATGTATAATAATAAGTTAATATATCTTATGGTATTTAACGAACCTTCATGACCAGCTTTGTGACTACATAGTGGGATGTGACTTTTATCGATATGTGCTTCAGTAAATTGGCAAGTAGTGTGACATGCATGATCCGTCAGACAATTATGTCCTCCTTCATGATCACGATTTTTTAAACATTTAAGGTTGCAATCATTGCAAGTAAGACCACATAATGTCCATAGAATTGTAAGTTTATTCATTTCTTGCTCAACTGCATATCGACCAATCACAACATCACTATTATCCTGCGGAAATTTATCAGTATTTTGCGTGAACCATTCTTGAATACGCAAGACTCGACGTTCAACAATATATTTAAAGAACTTTCCCAAATGGCTAAACCATATACTATCATTCTGCGCCTCTCTACGTTGTTGTATATTCTCTTCAAAGTAAGCTCTTAGATAATCCGAAAGTTGAACAAAGTCTTTACTTTCATCGAATAGTAAAATTTCTGCATCAGGAAGTAAACTTGCTGTGTTATCTAAGCCTTCAAATATATCAGATATTGGAACAGTAGGATCTGCAATACAATGACCTGTATCACGATTCTTAAAAAAGATTTTCAATTTAGTGTGTATGTTCAAACACGGTCAAATTTTAATATATAGCATACCAATAAATGTTCAATAACTTGATCTTTTTGCTCGACACCAAATGCGACAACTATTGGAAGAAGTCTTTTAAGTGTTGCAACACGAATTTGAACTAAGTTTTCATCTAAAGATCCCCAATCACAAATCTGTAACATTAAAAGATTCTTTAATATATTATATGAGAAAGGAAAGTCAAATTATAAAATAAAGCTAACCTTCAATTTAGCCATAATCACTTTTGTATTTTGCAAAAATATACGTGCGTTCTCATATTTAGGTTTTTGTTTATCAAGAAGCTTTTTAAGATCTTTTAAACTCTTGAACCATGCAGGATCATTGAAAATTGGCCAAGGAGTGATATTCAATCCACTAGGGTACATTCGAGTTATGAAATTGTCTTCACCTTCCTAAAATAAGATTGAATTTTAATAAGTACTTATATTTCACGTATAAGCAGTTTTATATAAATTGTGTTGAATGTTTATCAAACTAACCTCAGCTACCAAAGTATTAAATTTTAACGAAAATTCTCTAACAATGTCTTCACGATCTTGTTTTGGTACGTCTTTAATAATTATACAAAGTTTTGCCTATAAAATATTACGTATAACAAATTAATCCAGAACGTGATTTTAATAACTCAAAATTGTATACAGTACCTGAAATATCTTTGGATCAGATTCAAAAAACGTTGCACCGTCTTGGAACCTTTGAAACATCGTTGACATATCTCTGTTGATAGCAAATTGATTCTGTTGTGCAGTCCAAAATAAATTTTAGATAAATGACAAAATTAAATTATCTAATACGATAAATTATATCTCAATTTACCTTGAAAAGGATCATGTTTGATACAACAGTGTTAAATAAAGTTAAAAACAGATCTGTACAAATTATAAAATTTAAAATGTTAACTTTTACATATTAATACAACATAAGCAATAGGTTTACATGCCTTCTTGAGGCGTTCGTTCAAGAGATTTGAGTCCTTCGAAATCCAGAGCAACGTATAAGTATTGTTTAGTGATAACTATTTTTAATTAGTATATTTAATTAGTAATGATGTAAGTATTAATTTATATTCAATTAATGTTCAAAGGATTAGATATATACCTAATGACATCCATACTCCTTCAGTACAACGCTAAATTAATAAGACACAATATAACATTAAAAATAAATCACGTATAAAATCCAAGATATGATCAATAGATCTTACCATCGCAGAACCGTCAAACGTTGTTCCAACCAGATGATTTAACATATAACTATTAAACAAGAAATTTATTAAATTATAAATTTACCAAATTAATTATAAAAATGATAAGTTATAAATTAAACTTACGATTTTCCACAACTTTGCTCACCCATTGAACTAACTACTTTAACTTGTCGATTTCCAAAATGTTTAAATATGCCTTCATACCATCCGAAACTTATATTTTGTGCAATTGCATCAACATGTCTCGCGTAACCATCTTCAAGGTCTGCATGTTCAACCTCTGACGACAAACCATCTCTTAGTGGAGTGAACATATTATTGCGTGCAACAGCGATTTGAATAGGAATTAAGACTGATAACTGAATTATCCATCTTGATATTATTGAAGAGAATTGAATTAGCAACATAATTAATATTCAATCATTTAAACACATAAATACATACTCCCCAAGTTGATATTCAGTGGTATTTTTTCGTTGGAATTTAAAATCAACAACATTAAGATCATTAAAATTAGTAGCCGTTACAGTAAACCTGTAAAAATAACAAATATAATGTATTATATATTATGTTTATGAAAATAGTCAAATCAATTTAAAGAAATTACTTAATAATACTTTTTTAGAGAAGTAGCCGGTTTCTTTGTTGATCGTTTTAACTCTTCAAACATTTCGGTCACATAATCGTCAAATTTATCTTTATAATCTTCAACTTTATCATCATCTTGTGTATCCAAAGCAATTTGTAAAGTTAAAGGTTGAGTTTTTTCTATATCAATAGAACTGTCAACCGGGTATTTCTCAAACATCATTCTATAGGCGTCGATAAGACCGTTAAGGTTTGTTTTTGGCTCAATTCTAAATTCCGACCATTCATTGTTTGCCGGTTGAGAAGATTTAGAAATCTTTAATTTTGTATCTGAAATAATCTCTAATACATTATGTTTTTCACCCGATAATACAAAGATTTCTCCTTCGCGAACATCTTTTGTGAAGGTCGTTTTTTTCCCTTCAACGATAGAAAAGTTTTTATTCCGAGAAGTAGATAGTCTTACTTGACCCATAGATCTTTTTTGTGACCTTTGTTGGAAACGGTATTGGGTCTTTTCAAGGGTAATTTTTACAATTGACGAACAGAATAAACCATTCTTGATGTCAAGAGTTGTTATATGGATTTGACGTTTATTGATGAAAGAAAACTGGTGGTACTCAAAAGATTGCATGTTTAGAGGCATTTCGATGACTATTAATTAAAATTAGTAAAGTAAAACATGTAAGTAACAAAAATAATAGATAAAATTTTTTTGCATATCATGTAAATTTAAATACCTTTGTTGGCGTTAGGTTTTCCAAAGCTTGTACAGAAATATATATATGCGAAATATTTTTCTTCAACCTTTGGAGTACTCGTAGTTTCATTAATATCGGCATTAATATTTGAAGAATCTTCTTCATCTTCGTCTTCGTCTTTAAGTGGCTGTTCTACTTGAAACGTTTCTTTCACAAAAGCAACAATACATGCACCATCAGGAGTAGACATGACATTTGTTGCATTAGCTGGAACCTGCCCTATTCCTGGACGAAATTGGCCATTAACAAGATTATAGATGCGCGCTCGTCCTCCAACTTCCACAAAGCATAATTCTTCAGTATCCTTAATGAAGAAGAAATGCTGTATATCTGGAGCCCTAGAGTTGTACCATTGTAATATTTGAACATTTGAATTGCGTGGAAATAGATTAGTATATCCTTCATCAAATGCGTAAACATTTAGCTAAAATATCATAGAATAAAATTGAAGTTAGATTATAATCATATTTAATCATAATGTTAAGTGCATTATAACTTACCACTCCACTTTGTGTATGAAGTATGCCAATCAAGCCTCGTGGTTCATTAATAGCAAACATACAATGTTCTTCTGTATTTAAAGGCTTAAAAGTCTTTGGAGAATCGGAACTGAATATTGATTTAAGGCGTGATGGAGTATCAAAAAAGATTTCATATCGTGGATGTTTCTTGTTCCAAAGGATAATGAAGTATTTTTTATTTTCAAACTGAGAAATTTTTCTAATTTTATAACAGAACGTAATAATTTTTAATCGATAAAATTTTAGAAATTTGAAAAACTACACAGTACATACCTTATTTCATACACATCTGGATTAATTTGAAAAGATGTTCCTGCTTGTCCATAAAGGTTTGTAGACAGCCTAGGTCTAGGTACATGTAATTCATTCTCTTGTACTTCAAAGGCATCAGATTGTTCCAACGATGTCTCGTAAATAGTAATTTGCAATTGATCAGGTTGTGTCGTTTCAACCTCATAGTTGAAGTGAAATGATGCACTATAGTAGGATTCTTTAGTAAGAATAAAAAGATCATCATCAGTTCACTAACATTTTTTTTTTTAAAAAATATATATATATATATAATACCAAAGGTTTGAAATTTTAATTACCAGTGATATCTATTATCTTGAGTTTACGCCTAAATACATTTATAATTACGAATATTTAAATTAATAACAGTAATGAAAAATTAAATATAGATTTAAAGATGATTGTATCATACCCTGTTGAATACTTTTCTTCAATTTTTTTGCATATTTTTTCAAATTCACGTTCTTCCAGCTCTCGCTTCAATAATGTAAGTTCTTCATCTAATTTACGATCTATATCTTTACCCAATTGACCAGAACTTTTAGGTAAAATTCCTTTGACGTCGGCAATAAAAGTATCTTTTCTCCATTTTGAATATTCATGGAAGAAAGCATCGATGATTCCTTGTCTAATTACTTCATTGGGAGTTTTCATATATAGGGTTTGAATAAAAGTAGTGTCGCTGGTCCTCTTGGCAAACTCGTCTGCCTCCTTTAATGAATCATCTATGCGTCTAGAATCAATATTTGAGTTTGAATTAGAATAAAGGATCGAAGCAAGTGAAGTAACTATCTTGATAAATCCTGATTGAGCTTCAGAGTATTTTTTATCAGTGTATTTTTTAACAACTTTATGCATATCAGTTTCTTCATCCATAAATATGGAATACAATAATTTAAGGGTAGATTGACCAATCTCGACTTTATTCACATCAGTTGTTTCTGTATTTGCTTTATATGCTTGGGTAGTGATCAATCTTGCAAAAAAATATCGTGTCTTTAATTTTTTCCAAGTATTAGAATTAATTTTGGTTACTTTCGTAATTTTCTGTTGCATATCAGGATATTTAGCATTAATACGCTCAACAACTATAATTAAACAAATATATAATTAATAACCATATTATGTGATTTTATAAATGGCGAAAAATTTTCATACGTACTAGAATTTTCAATTTGGACATTTGGAGCTTCCATTGATGTTTTATTGAACCGAAGTTCGAATTCACTATAATGATAACATTCACAATAAAGTAATTATTGTCAAAATTCGAATTAAATAATAATGCATGGGGCAAATAATATAATTTTTTAATCATATACCCGTATAGTTCTTTCACTTTTTCTCGTGACATAGCTGTAACGTATTCGGCATCTATTTTTATAGCGTTCTTTTCTATATCTTTTTTTAAATCATTATCCTTTTTTGCAACATTGATGGCATCCTGTAACGGACTCAAAAGTTTCTTTTCCTGATCTAATCCACATTTAATTAAAAACTCTAAAGCTTTCATGCTCATTCTACGATCAATTACTATAGCATATCCTTGCGCACGGGTTTGGAATTCTTTCTTAAATGAGGATTTCTGGATGGTTGGGTTTAGTCTTTTCATAGTGAAGGCAGACGTGATTTTTTTTCGCGTAATGAATGTTTGGTTGTGAGCAGATTCGACAACTGAAGATGTTAATCAAACAAATATCTTAGCAACAATATGGAAAGTGGCAATAAAATAGATATTTAATGAACAGTCTATACCCATAGGAGTTAATGAATTGTCATTCTTATTTTCTAATTCTTTCTTTACGTTGGATGTAAGATTAATCTGAATATCAGAAAAGATATAATTAATACTTGAATATGAAACCAGCAATATTTAATATCATTGAATAATCATTGAATAATCAATATCTTTACCGTAAAACCTGGGTATAGTTTAAAATCTTCTTGTTCTTCTTGACTTTTTTTAACTTCAAATTCATAACACATATTATTTTCTTCATCGTCTGAATCTTGTTCATCATTTTCCATGCCCCAATTGAAATTTTCCAAATCCTTTTCACTCATAAAACAAATTTGTTGATCGGTGAGTTTAGTAAGATATCTAATAAAAAATGTAATGATAATATAGCCAAAAATAATTAGAATTTATAAGAAACAGTAACAAAAGAATAATGATAAATAATTATTACCTGTGAAGATTAGTCATATTTTTCTTCTTTTGTGATGAAGCATTGTCTTCATAACATCCTATTTCAGGCCAATGAATTACTAAACCAATGTCAGGATTAACCATTAATAGATAGATTCCAGATCGAAGAGTTGGTTGATTTTCGGTTTCTTGTTTACTCCCAGAAGAACGTGACATTGTAAGCAAATCAAAACTGTAAATACAAATAAAAATATAAAATTTGGAAAAAAATTTTTTTTTTTTTTTTAATATAAATAAAACAGCAAGAGAAATATCAACATACAGTTTTTTATTTATTATGTTCATTTTTAGCAAGAGTTTTGCAATTAACAAGTGATTTCCATAGCATCCAATAAGACGGAATGAAATTGTATTCAATCTATTGTATTCAATGTCAGAGATCGAAGTAAAGCTGTATGGTACCATATCGTTACAAAGTTTCTTGAGCGAATCTTTAGAAATGATGATTTTATCAACTTGCAGGAGAAATATTGATAAATAAATTAGAATATAAGACAATTAGAATTACAAAATAGGATAAAGTTAAGAAATAACTTAAATACCAAGACCATTTGAACCATCATCTTTACACAAATCCAATAAACGATACAAGCCAGGAATATATTCAGAAAGATCTTTCCCATATGTAATATTAATGCTTGGATCATTTTTATAATATTTATGACTTTCGATAGCAGCACGAATATGTTTCTTATAATCAACGTCTACGTTCTCTTGGGTGCGTGACTTGTCAGTTGTTTTTAGAAATTGATCGTCAACCTGATCTGTAGTAGGGGATTGCACTTCTTCGTTCTGATTCTTGTCTAATTCAGATAAAATTTCCGTCATATCATCGAAATAATTAGACGGGTCATCATTTAGTCCAGTAGGCGAATTATTAGCACGAGACGAAGATCCAGTTTCTTCGCCGGAAAAATTATCTGAATTCGTAAGTTGACCATCCTGTGATGTAGATGAGGAATGCGTAACATTTATATTTTGGGTATGGATCGCAGCTTGATCATTATTTTTAGGAATCGAACTTTCATCTTGATCATCGTTTTTAGGAATCGAACTTTTATCATCTTCCGTGCGTTGAACATTAATGTAGTTTAACTCTTGTAAAAAATCGGTTTTTGATTGAGAATTATTAATCTGAATTGGTGGACTATTAGAGCGACTGGAAGTCGTACTTTGATCGACGCTTGATATGACAGAAAAACCATCACTATTTTGAGAGTTCTCTACTTCAAACGTCGTGTCTTAAAAACAAAAACAAAAACAAATATTTAACCAAAAAAATTTATCATCTCATTCATGCAAAAAAAGATTATTATTACCATATTGCTCGTACACTTGCGGCAACCCTTTAATTTGCATACTGTATTTAGTCAAAAAAAATAAAGAACCGATTTCGTGAGAATTTTCAGAAAAAAGTACTGTAAACTTAATTTATTTATATACACCAAAAAAAAACTGTCATTGTATTCCGAAAAGGAATTTTGTGCACAATAATGGTTGTATGGCTGAAAAGAATTACGATTTTATCACTGAATGAAATATACTTTGACCAATTATTCTAACAAATCTTATTAATTTAATTGTCTTTATTTCGGAACTTTAAAGATACGTCACATATATATAAACGGTATTATAGTTTTTTTATTGTGTAAGCAGATAACAGCATCGTTAATTGTATCAGCAATCAATAATAATATCGGCGAATTTGCCATAGTTTAACAATGCGATTATAAAGCTGACCCCAGAATTTCAGCTATTATCGTTATACATTCTGCAATTGTTAAATCCAGGGACCCTAATTTAGATCCATTCCTTGTGCGTAGTCTCATCACTATTACAAACATTAGCGAGAAAATACGTAAACAAAATCACAATCACATGCGAGTCTAAAACTATACAAAATGTCTATACGTAACAGATAAATAGTTTAAAGCTAAATAAGTTAGTTTCCCAATAATAAAATTCGTGAAGTACAAATCAATTATTAATTACCTTAATATCACTATACTGTATTATGGTCGATTTTGAATCTGTGACGTATGTACGTACGTACGCATGCGTTGGGCCATTTTACATCATAATAAACTTTATTTAACTAAAACGAATAAAATAGAATAGTCATACGAATGTCATGATAGGTCGTAAGGTAATCGTAAGGTTATAACTTATCTGTACGTACGTACCTACACGCATGCATTCGGATAATTTCGGATGTCAAAATTTTAACTCCTCAAGATTCCTATTGCTATTAAAATATTGAGATCTTGTTTCAGGTAGGACAGTCCAACCCGTCCGTATAACAAACGTTATACGATAGCAATAATTATGTATCAAGAAAGACACTTTTTAAATGGCCAATATATTACATACGTACGTACTGTACGTACTGTACGTAGCAACCTTATGTCATATAAAATTTGGGTAGCTATTCCAATTACGGCTATATTGTTTCATGTTCTCCTTTGATTAAAAAACCTATCGGAGGATTTAAAGTGGATAGGTAAGCATCCAAAATGTCACGAATTCGTATGTTTGGATAACTTATTTGTCAATAACGTAATATCTATAAATTGGTCTGCAAATGAGTGTGATCGATAATCAGATCAATCGCATAATCTTATTTTATACCTTTTTTTTTGTTCAGATAACGGAATTTTGCTGATATTACCTACTGTAGTTTTAAGAATATCTTTACTATGTAAGACATAATATAAAGCTATGGGATTAAGAAAATATAAAGAAATGTGAAGGCTTCAAGTTTATTTAGTGCACTTCAGTACTTAATCCCATTTCACAAAGTACAGCATTGTAAATCTATTTTCCGTGCTATCTTTATCACCTTCCGTGTAACTTCTCTATTTAGTAATTCATTTTATTTTTTTTATACACAATGTAAAAACAATGTACTGTTGAATAGACCCATGATTCTGCGGCCCATTGTTAAAATGCTGAAAGAGATGCTAATTCGGGCTCAGTCCTTTGAAAACAATCATATGATGCCCCTGTTGTTTATTAAATGGCGTTATCTGTCATAGCCATGTATGAATATCATTGGCACGCTCAAAAATTGCTCGATACTAGAATAGTTTTTTAAAAAAAAAAAAGGCTATTCATTAATATTCATTAATTTTTAACATGCATTAACTACTGATTTATTCTTGCGCCATACTCTAACCCCATTATTGTTCTATCCAGATTTTTACCTGTTTCTCTTCTAGTATTCACTTATTCTAATCTGTGATATAATTTATTAACAAACTATGTTTTCGATATTAGCAAATTAGTATAAAATTTAAAAAATTTTCTATATAGTAAGAAATTTGCGTTTTTTTTTTTAAAAAAAAAATGGTACACTAGAAAAAATATTTTATTATATTTACTAAAAATATCATCATGTATGTTTGAAAAATACATTTTCGCAAATCAAAGCAAATCACGGTAAACCACGTACTTTTTGCGATTTGCTTCGATCACAGCCTGCCAATCACAGAATTTACGCGTCCCTGATTCTAATTCGTGTTGTTCGGGCTTAGTTTCATTATGAGGAAAGTTAATAGACGGAGTCTTCTGGTATAGCTGTACTAAACGCACTTGTATTAATAGCAGAAGTGCCTCAACGTAATCATGTATAAAACTTCTTTAAATTCTCGTAACTAAAGGAAACAATAAATTAACAATTAGCGCAATCTAAATATCATTATGTGGTGTTGGGTTGGGTTAGGGATATAGCGACTATAAAAACAGTTATAACCAGAAAGTTTGGGTAACCCCGTAGTTGGGTTGCAGGTACGGGCAGCTAGTCTAATAGTATCGAGGGACCTAATTCTTTGTATCCCAAAGCGCACACGCTGTCTTTAGAATTGTTTTTTTGTAGATGTGTTTTAGTTGTGAAGATTAAGTCCAAATTTACTCTGAATTTCACCTATCACATAATTTTTAACTATGCCAATAGTATGCCAATTATCAAGATAAGATGCAACTTTTTTAGAATACCGCCAGATTATTTTTAACCTAATATACTTTAACCCCTTAATGAATTAGTTTATTTAAATGAGAATAAAAATTAAATTGATTTGATGAAAGTAAAATAACATTAATTTAACAATATATATTTAAAAAAAAAACTCTGAAGTTTGTGCATTTAAATGCCCGAAAAATGAAAATAATTACAAATAAGAGCCCAAAGTGAAAATAATTGGCTGGAGCTGAGGGAAATGAAGTGGAAGCCTTAAAGCCATACTCTACGATTTTTAGAAATGTCCGGTTCCCGGTTCAGCTGGTCCTGATTTAGGTTCGGAATCCGAAAATTGAACCTAAAATTAGGATCGATTTTGGATGACTACGCCAGGGCTAACGATGTAAACCAAACCCGGTAGTTTGGGATTTAGGTAGAATCCCAAAGGTTTTTACCGGATTCTGCATTTCGTCATAACCCAAACTATATTTGGAACTAGTCGAAACTTATAAACGTAACATTATTTGATTGGCCAATTACATGAGATAACGCAACGCCGTTTTGTCTTTATTTAAGACTTATAATTTATACAAAATAAAGGATAGCACTAACGGCCTAATTAAAAAATGCATAAGGACCACGAATCTACTTTAATACTTTATATTTTATTCAAAGCCCATAAAATTCTACAAATAAAATGTAAAATAATGTATTTTTCACATAATAAAATCTAAAATAATGAATAAATTTTGTTTTTTAAAAGAAAAAACAGAGAAATTGTAAAATGACATTATTTAAAGCCTATTTAATTCAAGATATAGCCGTGGTTCAGTCCGCGAGCTATGCATAACTACAAATATGGTAAAAAAAAAAAAACAAAAAAACATACGCCCAAAATTTATCCAAAAATGATTCTGATACATCACAATCTAGTAGAGCTATTAAAAAACAAAAAAAAACAAACCTTTAAAAAATTATAGTAAACAAGAGTGGACAACCAAAAGCTCCTATTTGGAATGAATTTGATTCTGGAGAATCTGATGGTAAAGGTCATTATGGTGCAAAGTGTCAATACTGTACTAAGGGAAAATGGCAACGGGGAAGGCCAGCAGCTTTAGAAGCACATCTAGCTTTACATTGTAAAGGTGAAGTTCCTGACAACATAAGGCAGCATTGGTTAATTCAAGTAGCAAGACGAAATGACAAAGTAAATAATAATAATAATGATAATGAAAGTGTATCATTATCGTCATTGTGATAAAATCTAAGATTTCATATTCATGTTCCAAACCTATATTAAGTGAAAGAATTAATGAAATTAACAAAGCATTACTTAAAGCTTTTGTTGTGCTAGAATTCCATTTTCTGTAATTGATAACCTATTTGTTCAAGATCTTTTTTATCTGCTTGAATATTTTCCTTCTGGAAGAATTACCTTAGCAGAAAGACTACTTGATGAGGAGGCTGCTTATATAACTGTACGAACTGATAATTTACTTGACAAGGCATATAATCTAACTTTAGATATAAAAAAATCTAAATATAAAAAAATTAATATATTATATATAATTTATTTAATAATACTTTATTATTTTTTTTTTAACAAATAGTACTTGATAGATGGTCAAGCCCAACCAACGATTCATTATATAATTTTATTGTTTCTACCTCTGATAGAAAAGAATATTTATATTCTATCTTAGATTTTTCTGATGCAACACAAACTGGTGAATTTCTTGCTTCTAAAATTTCTAATATCGTTGATAAAATTGGTTCTGAAAAATTTATTGCTTGTGTAACTGATAATGGAAGTAATGCTCATGTTGCTCATGAAATTACTATGTTCAATTACTCTCATATTTGGAATATTAGATGTTTCGCCCATGCATTGAACCTTATTGCAAGTGATATAGTTAAAATTAAGTCCATTAATCAGGTTTTAAAACAAGCGAATCTAGTTATTCAATTTTTTACTAAGTCACATAAAGCATGCAGGCTTCTTTATAATAATATAAAAAGTATGAAAATAGATAGTGGTGGCTTAGAAAAATATGTCGAAACAAGATGGGCTTCTGTTTTTGGAACTACATTTTCAATTATAAGATTAAAGCCTGTTTTTAATAAGGTAAATTAAAAATTAATATTAAAATATGCACAATACGAATACTTTTTTAAAAAAATTTATTTTTTTAGATTCTAGAA